CCCCCCCTTGGGGGGTGTCCCCCGGGCGGGGGGGGATCCGGGCCCCCCCCCCCCCAGGGGGACAGGGAGCAGGCTGTGGGCTCAGCGGCAATTTTGCTGAAGATGGACCTCAGCCCCTGTTCGGATGATGAGTGGATAAATGGCAATTAATCAGCCTTCCCCCGGAAGAGTAGTGTTGTCATTATTGTTTCCTTCAGACAGAATCACCGCTCCTTTTGCCCCGGCACGTGACTTAGGAAGGAAAGATTCTGTCCTACCTGCCGAGGGTGGTCAGAAAGGGAGCTGCCCCTTCTGCACAACAGGAAGGCGCCAGCCTAGGCTGCCCAGCCTCTTGAATCCCGTTATTCTTCTGTGACCCCCGTTTCCATCCAAGCTCTTCTGCCGCTAGTGACATAGGACTGGCTCATTCGGACAGTGGGTTCAGAGTTCAGCCTCACCAGGGCAGTGAGAGGCAGTGGGTCCCTGAGAACTCAAGCCGGGAGCAGAGCCTCCCCTCCACACAGACAGAAGGCAGCCGTGCTGGCAGCGGGGGCCGGGGCGGGTGCTGCGTTCAGGATTCCTTTGACTTTGACTTAGAACAGGTCATAAACCTGGGTCATCTGCCATCACCACGGTGGGGATGCCCTGGGTACCCAATGCAGTTTACCTTTGTGCCCCACCTGCTGCCCTGAAGGTCCCACTCGCCCCCCTACCCCTAGTAGTTGCTCTGTCTCTTCAGTTGGCCCTTTAAGAGTCAAAAACTGCAGCCTAGGAGGTCCCCTCAGAGTTGTTCCATACTGTTCTTCCAACTTTACCTACCTACTCACTTCCCCCTCCCTGACTTCAGCCAAAATTAATCCTTTCTACCCTCCTTCCCTCCTTCCCTCCCTCCTTCCCGCCTTCCCTCCCTCCTTCCCGCCTTCCTTCCCTCCTTCCCTCCCTCCTTCCCGCCTTCCCTCCCTCCTTCCTTGCTTCCCTCCCTCCCTCCTTCCCTTCTTTTACTGTGTATCTTCCTTTCTTCACAGCACAGTTATAGTCTAACTTTCATGGGAAGTAGTCTATTTAGACTTAGGTTTATGATTCTACTCTTTGGGGATTATTTGCCTTTTGCGGAAAGTGCTGGTTGCCAACCAACTTACGGGGAGGCCTTCTCGGCCTCCTGCCGGCCATTATGATGCTGCCACCACCCTTTGCCCTTGATCATCATGGTGATTGATTTCTGACTTAAAAGAATTCATAGAAAACAAATACTCTGTTATCACAGAAATTTTCACACATACGGGAAAGTCATCTCCTTGTAACCCACACCCAATTTTAAAAATCTTCAGTGTTTAGCCGATCTCATTTAGAAGACTTAAGATCAGTGTTTCTCAGAGTATCAGTAGTGACCCTCTTGGATTAGAATTACTGGGAATTTGTTTAAGATGCATATTCCTGGGCTCCCCCCCAAGACCAACTGTTCCAGAAATCTCTCGTTGCTGGGTCCAGCAATCTCCACGTCTGACAAGCTTCCCAAATGGTTCTTACACACGTTCAGCTTGGGGAACCAGGACCTCACATAGCGACTGTGCAAACAGACTTCCTGCTCGTGGAACGTCTTACTTGCCCACCATCACTCACAGGGCCTTCCAGTCCTTCATGTGGAGGAGACAGAAAGTCAGGCCTGAACTGAGCGGCTAGTTCGTCCCCTTTTGCTCACGGGAAGCTACACATGTTAGCACAGCAGCTTCAAATAAGACCCAAGGCCTCAGTCCTAAGAAAGTGCTCTGTAAATTGGTCAGTTAACTGTTGAAAGGAAGGCACCGTGTCATCTATACCCTTTTGAGTTTTGAGCTTCTCACTCAACTTGCACTTAAGCTCAACAATTTAATTTGGAGTCATGCTGAAATAAGGCCATAGGAAGGCATTACTGTAATTTTCTTACATTGGTTGTGGGCCTTGGTCTATATAAAGAGGAATCCAGACAGATAAAGCACTTGGGTTATGCTAATTTGCTCCCACTTTTGAAACCCCCCTCCAGCATGCCATGTCAGTGCAGGAGACTAGAGGGTTCTCATAAACCTTGTCTCTCTTTTTTTCAGGTCAGGAAGGAGGGCTTCTGAAGAAATAGAAGAGTATGTTTCCAGTATTCTTACAACATCCTGTGGTGACCATAGTCAACAGTGCAGTCTGGGTGGTCCTCATCGGTTCAGCCTTTATTGAACACAGCATTCAAAGACAGACAGCAGGAAGTTGGCCATGGGCTGGGGCTGGAGTTAGGAACACTAGTCAAGGGTTCGGTTAATGCGGCTTCCTCAGCTGAAGGGCTGGACTCTGGCATTGATGCCCATGTCGTATCTCCCACTGCGTGGTTTTTAGAATTGTATGTTCAGGTATCAAGAGTACTGACCCATGGGTTCTGCTTTGCTGATGCAGATGGGCAGAAGCAACTCCAGCCTTCTAAACCTAGCCCCTTCTCCTAAGACTTATATCAAAAAGAAAGAAGGAAGGTTTCTAGATGAAGATGGAATGGGAAGGTAGGGCCATGGATCTCATAGCTGCGGGGTGGGTGGAGCATCCTGTCACGGTCGGTGTGACGCTGCCTGTGGGATGTAGCACCCCATGGCTTGTGTGGCCGTACATGGCAGACCAGCTGCCAAATCAAGTCTGACCAAGGTGGTGGAGGGGAGTGGGTCCAGAAGCATTTTCATCTAGGAGAGAGAATGGAAGCAATAACAATATAGGGTTTTCACTTTCTGCTTTCCTTTCCTTCTTTTTGGGGGCAGTCACCGCCTCAGACAGCAGAGCCTGGATGGATCAGATGATGGAGGAGGTAAGATGTCCTTGGGGAAGTCAGAAGGGCTTCCGGAGACGTCCCAGAGCATTTCCTGAGCTACAGTTAAGGCGCCATTTGCTGCAGGCTTACTGGAAACATCCCCTGTGGCCTCATCCTAGCCTTTTGTTTTGCATCTCTGAGCCTTGCTAAGTGCTACTGCCCCTGCCTAGAATACTCCACCTTCTTCTGTATCCACTAATCCTGTTTGTCCTTCAAAACTCAGCTGGAAGCATCACCTCCTCTGAAATGTCTTCCCTTCCATCCCACCCTTTCTCTGAGTCTGATGTTCTTTCTCTGCGCCGGCAACCTCCTGGGCAAATGTCCATTGTAATACACCACCACGGCAATAATAGCTAATACTTATCAGGTGTTTATTATATCTCAGGCACTGTCCCACCACTTTATAGATGTTAAAGCGTTTCATTTCACAACAACCCTATGAGGCAGTACTATTATTATCCCCATTTTATAGTTAAGGAAACTAAAGTACAGAGAGGTTAAGTTGCCCATGGTCACAGAGCTAAGTGACTATCACACTTTAATTCTTTACCGGCTTGTTTGTTCTTCCAACCAGGCTCTAAGCTCCTTGATAGTGGACACTGTGTCTTATTTATCTTTGCATCTCTCATGCACAACACACAGTAGCCAGTTAAAGGCTGACACTGTAATGAGGGAGAAACAGCGCTTACATGTCCAGCAGCCATGTCACAGCCGAAACCTGTGTTCAGAACTCAAGAGACAAGGTAAAGTTTGTGTGTACTTTTTACAAGAAACCTACTAGAGTGGAGGTTATCTTAAAGACCTAAATGATCAAAGCCTCTTTTTTACCCCACGTATTTACCATTTCCACACTATTCCTTTGTGCACAATTCAGTTTCCATCTTGTATCATTTTCCTTGTGCCTGAAGCGCTTCGTTTAACATCTTTTTTGAAGAGCAGGTCCTCTGGCAACAAATTGTCTCAGCCTTGTTTGTCTGAAAATGTCTTTACTTTTCACCAGATACAGAAGTCTGGGCTGGCAACTCTGTTTTTCCTTTTAGCATTTTAGATACTTAGTTCATTGTCCTCTAGCTTGCATTGTGTCTGACGAGAGGTCAGTGGTCCTCCTTTATGTTTGTTGCCCTGTATGCAGTATGTCTTTTTCTCCTGCTTTTAAGACTTATTTCTCCTTATTTGTTATTTTCAGCAATTTGGTTATGATGTGGCTTGTTGTGGTTTACTTTGAGTTTATCCTACTTGAACTTCTTGAGTCTGTGCATTTATGGTTTTCATCAGATACAGATAATTGTAGCCATTGTTTCTTTTCTTTTTTTAAAATTGAAATATAGTTGATGTACAATATTATGCTGGATCAGGTGTACTATGTACTGATTTGACATTTGCATACATTAATGAAATGATCTTCACGATAAATCTATCCCCATTACAAGTTATTACAGTTTTACTGACCATATTCCTTATGCTGTCTGTATATTACTTCCCTGTGGCTTATTTATTTTATAAGTGGAAATTTGTACCTCTTAATCCTCTTCCCCTATTTCACCTCACCCACCCCTGCTCGGGCAACCACCTGTTTATTCTCTGTATCTGTGAGTCAGTTTTTGTTTTGTGTTTGTTTTGGTGTTTAGATTCCGCACATAAGTGAGATCATATGGTATTTGTCTTCCTCTGTCTGACTTACTTCACTTAGCATAATACCCTCCGGGTCCATCCATGTTTTCGCAAATGGCAAGATTTCCCTTTTTTAATGGCTGAGTAATATTCCCCTGTATATATATATACCGTATCTTTCTTATCCATTCATCTACTGATGGACACCTAGGTGGCTTCTCAAATTCCAGCTGCCTTAGCCCCCTAAACTTTGACCTCTGTCTCCTCAGCTCAGCCAGACCTCCCTCCCCATGCTCCACTTGGGGTTCCCCACCCCTGTGCCAGTGTCCAGGAAGCATCTCTGGGCAGAAGCCAGGGTGACTGCAGGGCCCACTTCATTTGTTTCCCTCCCCTTGGGGATCACAGTTCTGTGCTACCTCTTGTTCACTGTGTGAAAACAGTTGTATCTTGTATTTTTTCCAGTTTTCTAATTGTTTATAGCAGGAAGGCAAGTCTGCTAACAGTTATTCTCTCATGGCTAGAAGTGGAGTCCCAAAGCCTTCTATTAAATAACCTTTGCTTGCAACTACAAAGTGGAGGAGAGAATTAAATCTGTAGAACGTGGATGATTCTCTGTGCCTTAGCTACTTCACAGGATTAGGGCAAGGGTCGTATAGGACAATCGTGAAATATTCTGGGATGGTGGTTAAAATACAGATTCCCAGGCCACCCACAAAACCGAAGCTGGAGTTGGGGCCCAGGGATCTGCATTAATTTAAGTAAGCTTCCTGGATAAATATTTCGCACACTGAAGTTTGACAACCCTGCTGTAGTGCCTCCAAAGCCAGGATTGAAGACTGGAGGGGGAGTTGTGTGCAAGAGTACTTCTGCCTCATCTCCTTCCAAAGGGGTTTGAAGGTAGAAAGGGAGTCTCTGGAGGTCAGGAATTCAGCCTGCACTCTAGGAGTTAGTAAGAGCTCCTGGGCCCGCTGCTCCCATCGTTCTTCAGCACTTCGCTTTTCCATTATCTCTTATTGACAAGCTCATTTCTTTTTGCCAGATATTCCTCCTTAGCTCTGCTCTCTAAATTCCTCTCAGCTGCCAAACTTCTCCACCCACTAATAATTCCCAGTGGCCCTGTTCAACATGGTATCCTGCACTTCTTTTACCGGAGTCTGCTTTCCCAGACGTGTTCCTAGGATGTCCTCTGCCAGTGCTACACTGGCAGCCGTGATGCTCAGTGATTGGTGGCTACTGCCACCCTTTGGGTTGGCCTGTCCTCACAAACGCTCTGTTGCTTCAGCCATTGGTTGCATAGGGCAGCAGGGCAACCACCCAGGAGGATGTTCCCTGGACTCAAGGAGGCAGGTCCCTGCCAGACATGAACAGAGCTGTTTGGTGGTTAAGGCGCAGTGTGCTTGGAAATTGTGATGCCGATGAACCTGAGGTGCTCATTCAATTCATGGTCTACAGAAGGTGTATTCAGCTGGGACTCTTCTCCACACCTCTCCCCACCCCACCTTGGGCCTCTTTCCAGCTCCCCTCAAAGGACCCCTGAAATCCCACCTTCTCCCTTTTTTTTCAATGTGTGAACGTGCTCCATTTCAAGGAGTACCTGTTAAATATTACAGCAAAACCCTCTGAATACTGAAGTTTGCACACATCACAGATGCATTATTAGAAGGTTGCGCTGGCCGCCATTGTGACATCATCACGTTAGAATCAAATTGTTGCAGGGTTTTTTTTGTAAATTTATTTATTTATTTGTTTATTTTTGGCTATGTTGGGTCTTCATTGCTACGCATGGGCTTTCTCTAGTTGTGGCGAGCAGTGGCTGCTCTTCGTTGCGGTGCACGGGCTTCTCATTGCGGTGGCTTCTCTTGTTGTGGAGCACAGGCTCTAGGTGCGCGGGCTTCAGTAGTTGCAGCACGTGTGCTCGGTAGTTGTGGCTTGCGGGCTCTAGAGCGCAGGCTCCGTAGTTGTGGCGCACGGGCTTAGTTGCTCTGCGGCATGTGGGATCTTCCCAGACCAGCGATTGAACCCGTGTCCCTTGCATTGGCAGGAGGATTCTTAACCACTGCACCACCAGGGAAGTCCCAAATTGTTGCACTTTTAAGCAACTCTATAGGCCACCTTGTCCAAACCTGCCATTTGATGTGTTAAGAGATTGAGGTTTATAGATTATTATATAGAATCTCAGGACTCAAAGGGAAGCTCTGATCTTCTGACTCTCAAGGGAACAAACACTCTGCTGTCATACCGTGGTGTCCACCAGCATCACTGCCATCACCAGTATTACCAGATATTTACCGCGTTGTGTAGTATGTTTCTTTTTCTCATTTAATTCACAAAACAAATCTATGGGAAAGTTCCTTTAAATCAGTTTTACTGAGTTCTAATTTGCATACAGTAGACTGCATCCAAAGTACACAGTGTGAATTTTTATACATGTATATACCCAGTTAAATCTCTACCACCACCAATATACAAAACATTTCCATCACCCCCAGAAGTTTCTCATGCCACTTTCCAGTCCACCCTTCCTCTGCCCCTGTCTCCAGGCAACTATGATCTGTTTTTTTGTCAAGATAGAGTGGTTTGTAGTTTCTAGAATTTTATTTACATTGAATCATATGTATGTATGCTTCTGTGTTTGGCTTTTTCCGCTCACTGGAATGATTTTGAGATGCATCCAGCTGGTTGCATGTATCATTACCCTGTTCATTTTTATTGATAATACGTGGATATAGCACATTTTGGTTATCTAGTCATCTGTTAAAGGACATTTCAGTTGTTCGTTATCCCCATTTTAAAGATGAGCAGACTAAGGCAAAGAAAGGTAACCTTGCCAAAAGTCACACAGCTAGTAAATGACAGCATCAGGATTTGGAAGGCAGCTGTGCTCACCACTCTATTACTAACGCAGCATAGCTCAGCACCAGGCTTTGAATGCAGGTCTTGGCTCCAGAGTCCTTGCTCTTGGCCTCTGAGCTGTAACAAATGGTACAACCCTCCGCTGTGCTGGCATCTCCTTGCACAGGTTGGTTGTGTCAATGTCAGTTCCCAGGTGTGTAAGATAGCGTGCTGGCATTACTGGCGGGATGCTTAATACAATTTCATTAAGGAAGGGGAGAAGAAAGACACTGTTTTCAGGGAATACCCCTACTATTCTTTTCCCCTTCACAAACTTGGAATGTGAAATTTGTGAATTGGCCTTTATTTTGGCTCCAGAGGTTTGACGCATAAAACCCTTTCTTGTCAGAGTGCACTTGACGTTACCTTCTAGGAGGTATGCCTCTTCCCTGGCATAAATCTGTTTTCCATGCAGTTATGCCTGAGTCCTGTAGTGGAAAATCAGTTCATATGTTCCACTTCACACTCGACTTAGTCCATTTCACCGTATGTGA